ACTACCAGATGCTAATGTAGTTCCATCTGGGGAGAAGCACACTGATCGAACCGTATCATTATGACCATCTAATTAAGCTTTTTATTATTATGTCTTAACATCCCATAAACGAATTGTTTTATCTACACTACCAGATGCTAAAGTAGTTCCATCTGGTGAGAAGCATAATGATAGGACATAATCACTATGACCTTTTATTTTGGCTTTGAATTCTTCAGTCTTAACATCCCATAAGCAGATTGTTTTATCATCACTACCAGATGCTAATGTAGTTCCATCTGGGGAGAAGCACACTGATCGAACCGTATCACTATGACCTTCTAATTAAGCTTTTTATTATCCTGTCTTAACATCCCATAAACGTATAGATTTATCTCCACTACCAGATGCTAAAATAGTGCCATCTGGTGAGAAGCATACTGAATTGACTTCATTATTATGACCATTCATTTACAATTATTCATTTATTCTTAAATTTTTCCATTTACAATTAAACAATTAAGCACCATTTAAATTAATTCCATTTATATTTACGTTTTCAAATTTGGATTCATTCAAATTGGTTTTTGCAAAATTAGATCCTAATAAAGATGTATCTTTAATTTTTATGTTTTAAAAGCTTTGCATAGTTAGGTCAACTTTCATTTCAACTAATAAATTTAGCGAATTACTACCGCTTAAAATGAATTTTTGATCTATTTTTGTAAGATTTACTAAAAATTTTAATAATTCTATAATCTTAGTCTCTTAGGATATTTTTTATATTAGATATTTTCTTGCTTCTGTATACATTTCAGTGGAATAATTTATTAAATTAAAGGCATGTTTTTATATGTTTTCAATAACATTCATAGTTAACTTAATATTATCAATCAATTTCTATGCTTTTACAGATACTGATTAATTGCTTGACTCCTTATTCAATAACTTTTTTATCAATTCTAAACAATCTTAATCCTCATTTTATTCTCTTTCAAACTCTTTCATCATATAACTCAGATTTAGATCTTTTGCCAAGATTAACACTTCATATAGATCAGCTGCAATTAAGAACTCTTATATAGATTTATGGA